GACAATATAAAAAAAAAGATCTTCGCCAATCAAATTTATTCTTAATTCAGCCAATCAAAACGAACTTCCACTATGCTGTTTCTAATCCAGTAACCTCTTTTTTTTTTTTAACAGACATTTACGACATAAAATACTCCCAAGAAATCTAAAGACGCGTAAATATATATGAAACTATTTTGTTATCGATACATGTAAACCCAATAATTTCGTTTCTTTTAGCAAGTACTTGTGATATAAATACTCAAGAAATCCAAAGACACACAAATATATTTGAAATATATTTGGAACTATTTTATTATCGATACAAGTTAACCTATGATTTTCTTTTCTTTTTTTTTGAAACTATATTATTATTGTACAAGTAATCCCAAGAGTAGTGGACGTTTCTAAAAAAAATGATTAAGACTTTGTTTAAAAAATCATTTATAGAAGCATCGAAAGAAACACAAATTGTTCAACATATTTATGTGGATAACTAATGACTGTAAGGTAAAAAGTTATTTCAACTATACTTAGAATCTATTTTGATATCCTATTATTTTGTAATCAGTTCTTTTGCTGTAATGTTACTTGTAGTTAGTTGCAGAGTGGACAATATCGATATAATGATGAGGTTCAAAGAAACATATACTTTTAATACTTCATGTTTTAATCCAAAAAAAATTTGCATACTTTTTATATTAAACTCGTATAGGAAATATAAAAAAATGCTTATAAAAGACTATTCTTAGCGATTAAGTAGAATTAAATATCGATAGTGTTGGATACTAGGAGGGACAAGGCCTAAAAGTCAAAGAATCAAAATACTCTACCTATATAGGATTGCTGAAAGATATGTACCGTGCCTACAAATCATTTACCTAAGAAGCAACAAATAATTGTTATGACGGGTGATTATTATAGCATGAGAGTTGGCCTTTTTTTTTATTTTATTTATTTAAGTGTTTTGTTGTAGTTAATACTACTGTACTATCGATAGTATAAATATCGCATACCTTAATTTTTGGAACGTGAAAAGTATGTTTTCATAACTGTGTTCCCAACTGACTTATTAAAAAATCATAAATAATTTCTATTTTATTTACATAGATAAAGATTTATACCATACCATTGTACTATTGTATTATTTCAGTATACCGAAGTCGCGATAGAAATGTAGATATAGAATTGTATTGGGCGTTGGATCTTCAAATACTATGATAGCTTTAGGCAATTTGCTTCATTGGTTGGTGGGTATTAATTAAATCAATAGCTGCATTCTTTGCCATTTAGCTGGCTGAAGTTTTATATTTATTCTTATTTTATTACAGGTTGTATTCGTCGTGGAATGCGACCCAGATAGCTATTTTTAACTTGGTAACAACCAATTCAAAAAAACACAACTATGAATCACATTAAAGCATTCAATTGCAAGATTGTAAGAAAATCCAAGAGGATATCAGGTACTGGCTGATATTATACATGAAATTGGTCATTTTTAAAGAGTTATATTTGATATATTTATTGAATTTATGCCTAAAAAATAGGACTCGAATATGATTAAACTTTGAAAGCATTGAAGTATAAAGTAAATTAAGAATCATTATCCAATCAGAAGAGATCAATGAACTGGACCTATTTTAGACACTCCAGAACGCTGAAAAATGGATTCTCCGAAAGTGAATGGGAATTTATTGTAGTCCACTCATATGAATCTTTAAATAATAAAAATGGATTCAACGTTTTATTAGATGATATAATTGCTCACATAAAAGACCATTAGTAAGTATATTTTGTTTTTTATTTAGTTGGATTGATGATCTACATAATTTTTTTTAAGTTCTTTGAGCCACTTTATACTTGTCGCATTGTGGTAATTATTATCAATAAAAGGGAAATATGAATTTTAAAATAAGTTTATTGGAATTACATAATTCGCGAGACTCAAAAAAAAAACTATGCAGATCATTAATCCAACTTAAATCACAAAATTCATATATATAATCTCATGTATTATACTTACATTTTTTTATGCAAATAGTGAGACAAAGAGGAGTATAAATTCAAAGACAAATCTGTAAGTGAAGGACTGTGGGCTTTAGACGGAATCATAATTCCTCCAAAATATGCGAGCAGAATTTTGAAAAACATAAGGCTTTTTTGGTAAAGTTTTTTTTTTAAAATAACTCACGAAAGAACGAGTTTCTAATTGGAGAAGTTGTCGGAACTCCATTCGATGAAAAGAAGAAGTCAAAAGATGACAAACAGAAACTTTTTAGAATGCTTAAAGATATCTACGATGATATCTTTAAGCATTTCTATGAAAGTTTCCGGAAAAAGTTTCAATAGATACGTTTAAAACCCTCAAAATTTACAGGTTATTAATTTCTGGTATGTATCAATTTTATCACTGTTCCCTTATTTTTATTAGGATTGTGTCAAATTTTCATAATTAATTTTTAATTTAGGCAAAAAATTAAAAATCTATGTCCTAGACAAGCCTTCCTTCGGGTTATATAGAACAAGGAAGGTAGATCAAATGATTCTTCCTGTAAGTGAAGATGATGATCGAATCATTACTGCAATTGACAGCCTATTAGTAAGTAAAAAATTTATTGTTTTTGCATATTAATCAATATCACTAGGATTTATTAATATCTTTAAACTATAGGGCGTCATTGTCAACAATAAGAATACTTTCAAAGAGAAAGAAAAAGAATTTAGAAAAACAAAACACCAAGAATCCAGTGGAAACGAATGGAAATTGGATTCCATTCAAAAAACTCAAATGTTGCCACGACATTATTAGAATATTAAACTAAAATCAATGCATAACAGACTAAAGGGTACAGGAAAATGAACATTATTATGTGTTATTTATTGTGAGCGACTGCTATTTCAGCGCAAGGTGGACAACAACCTTTTTTTTATCCGGCTCATTTTTTTTCTCTTTCATCTTTATTTAGTTTCGATTCTCTTCGATTTTTTTTGGATTTTTTCGATTTTATTTTCATTTAGTCTGCTTTTTCATTTATTTTTCCGATTTATAATTTAACATAGTTAAATGCTATTGAAAAAATCTTATTTATTTTTGAAATGCATCACTTATTGTTAACTTTGAAACCCCAATTGTAAAAATACGACACTTATTTGTTAGCTTTGAACCCATTGCTGATTTTTGGAATGATCCTGATTCTATTTATCAAGCGAAATTAGAATATAAATCCGATTTTAATTGCTTTGGATTAAACAATTTTTCGGACATTGATAAAACAGTGTTTTAAGATATCCTAGAATTCTGTTATCATTCACTCTTTACATTAATCAGCACCTTTTTTTTAGTTCACATTTGTAATTTAGAATTTTCCGCTGCATGAAAGCTTTGTTCTCAGAAATCATGGCTATTTGCAAATGGATTCACAATATTTTATTTTTTTTTGCCACTTCTTTAGAATTTACAAATAGGCCATCTTTAGATTTACATTCAAAAAAAAGTTTTCTTTGAATCACTTGAATATCGTATCAAGAATTGAATTAAATAAAAATAAAATAAAATTTAGTCCTGAACACTTTTTTGTTCTGAAATGAATTTATAAATCCAATTAGGAAAACAAGTAAGTTTCTTTATTAATTTTCTCCTTATCTGCTTTCGCTAATAAAAGGAAGATTTAGGTGCGGAAAAAAGCACTCTGGTGTTTTATATTTCATTACAGGTTGTATTCTCTTAATTTGGTAACAGCTATTTAAAAAGCAATTGTAAACACACTGGAATATTTAATTGCAAGATATGGTATTTTTAATTGCATGCTAACCAATCTCACATGGTGACGGCATTCCAAAACACTTTGTTCTAAGAAGAATAGATTATGCACCTTAATTATAAGATCAGATGTAGTGTGAAAATCAAATAATAGAATAAAACAAAATATTCATTCTAAAAAGCTCTTTATGGTTAATATAAATAATCATTCTAACTGCATTTTTATGGTCGGTGCTAAAATACTGCAATTCTATTATTGGCTACTTCACATCCAATAACCTATATATTTTCATGTAAGCTTAAATTGTTGATCATTTTTTTTGTTAATAACAATGCCAAAAAAAAACAAAAAAACTATGTATAGTCATTGTTATTTTCAAAAGTTGTAGAGAAATAGAATCATCGTTAAAATAAATGTTAAATTCTTTATAAATAAAATATAAAAGATAATAAATTGTTTAAGTGAAATCATATCATTTATTAAACAAGATGAAATTTATTATATATCTGTTTGTGAAAATATTTTGTCTACTTATTCAGTTATCGACGGGAATTCTTACAGAATATTGTATTCCAATACCTGAAAGGCCCGTTTTCATCGTTCTTGTGGATCAAATAAAGGTTTGAAGGCACCTGTTATGTCATTAGCTGATATAGAAACTGCTAAATGCCCAGCTACGGATGCTGTAGTGGCGGATGCTTATTTATGATAGGATTAAAATTTCATCTCATATGACATAATATCCCACAAATTAGACTCTAGCGCTAATAAATACGTATACAGTCACGAGGGTGCGGTGCTTATTTATGATCGACACCTTGTACTAGTTATGTAATAACTGTACTATAATGATTCTGACGTCATCTATTGTTCAAATCCAGATGGGCGGAATTTTTTTGAATGTAAATTTAGTGTCTATTTATTTTTTTCCCCTTCAGATTCTGGATTCCTTTTGATGAAGGTCCGAGATAAATTTAAATTTATATGTATATTGATATTGCAATGTAATTCAAATAACATTCTTACAGTAAATTTAATTTAATTTTCTTCAGTTTGTAGACAGTACTTCCTACTAGCAATTATTTTTACTACGTTGTATTTTAATGTCAGCTATGTTTATACTTCACCGGCAAAGAAAGATAAATTTATTTTATATATACAAGCGAAATTATCACTTTTATGATTTCATAAAATATATTGTTTGAGGGTCTAAGGTATGGACTAAGTTACTATTATGTCAGGAAAATGGATGTATTAAGAAATAGACGAGCGGCTAGTAGTTTACCCAACCAATACCGGCATCACTTAATTCAATTAACAACTTTTCTTTTGATTGTAAGTCGAATTCTCTTTGTTTTTTTCTTTCATGAATCCCCGTAGTTGCATTGATGTTGAAATTTAAAGTCATCGAAAATTAATATTATAATTTTGGGTAAGCAATATTAGAAATTATAAAATGAAAACTTTAAGACTTTATGATATTATCATAGTAATTTTAGCTCACTAAAAATTTACATTAAGTAACATCGATATTAAATTTACATAATAATCTTGTGCGACATTTTTTAGTGAGAAAAAAAAAAAAGCTCACAGAATCATGGTACGAAAATGACGCATTTTGCAAAATATCACAACCCATTGCTTTAGAAAATGAATTTTTATCATAGAAAATATACAACTCCGCCTATTCACACGAGGATCAATTATACGCAGAAGTTGTTCTGCAGATCAAAATATATATAATCATATGCTATCGAATTGTATTCAGCCTTCTTTAATAATAATAAAATTTATTATGCACAAATATTTTTGATTTACATTGTTGACATAGCACCTCACTGTTATTGGACCTCGCATTACTAAAATCAATTGGATTGACACTATCAGTTGTTAAATTTTTTAAATTTGGAATGCGCTGTGATGAACACAAAGTGCTAAATATATGACCATTTCTCTTTCATGAAAATAAGTTTCGCATACCAATCGAGGCAATATTTTAGCTTACAATATATCAATTCTTATCTGGTTAATTATAAGCTATTGAGCATAAGCTCGTAAGATCTTTATTTTATAATTTTTTTTATTATGACGTTAATATAAAGGTCACATTTCGATTAAATGAACTAGACAAAATCTTATGTGCCTATAATTAATTCATTGAAATTTTAGAAACCTCCATTAGGAATCAGTTATGAAACTAATAAAAAGTATAAAGGAAGTTATTTGAAGAAAATGAAATATAAATTATATATATATATATAAAGAGTAAAAATAAAATCTTTAAACATAGACTTATACAAGATTAATTTCATTTCCATCCAAAGAAACCATATCATAATCATCATCATTATCTGTGCTAACATTATCAAAACTTTCAACATCGGATTCTGAAAATATGAAGTCTTCTGTATCATCAGTATTATCAGAATCGTTAGAATCATTAAAAGATTCCGATGATCTAAAATCGAGAAAATATGACTCCTCTAATTCTTTATCATCTAATAAGTCTTTGGATTCTGATAAATGCGGTTCATCATTAGATAATTTTTTAGATTCCAATAAATCTTTATCGTTAGTGTTATTTGATATTTTATCTAAAGATTGGTAAATAAATAAATTGAATAGGTTGTCATTATACTAATAGTGATGATTCAAAATTAAAATAACAATTTCATTTTTTTACCTGAAGAAACAAATCCAGACTGTTCTAATTCAAACAAAGTTGGCCAGAGCTGGCTAGTAAAAATAGCGTCTGGATGTTTAGTATATGTACTACTTAACATCGGACCACCCCTTGAAGGACCTTTCATTTTTCGATTTTTTCTTTCATCACTCGCATTTGCTTCACTCAAACTTGCAATCATTTCACCTAATCCTTGGGCCGTTGGACGTTTATTTGGATCATTTTCCCAACATTCATATATAAGATTTATAAACCACTGTGGTATATCCGGTGTTATATCTTGTGGGAATTGTGGTCTTAATCCATCACAAATTTCATAAATCAATTGTTCGTTATGTGCACAATCTGAGAATGGAAGGCGATTTGTTGCCATCTCATACATAATTCCTCCAAGACTGTATATATCTCCAGCTGTTGTATATGGTTCTCCTTTTAATACTTCTGGTGGAATGTATGGTAATGCACCAAAAACAATTCTTTTTCTATTTTGTGATGGTTCAGCGTCAGATGATTCTTTGTTTACCGGATGACATATTCCAAAATCATCAAGTTTTGGTTTAAAACTTATTTTTTGATAACGGAAATTAGAATAATTCACAAGAATATTCTTGCTATGCAAGTTTCGGTGAACAATTCCTTCTTTGTGTAATGATGCTAATGTGCGTGTTATAGTGATTAATGCATTTTTTCTGGCGTCAAATTTTATTCCATTATGATTTACGAAAAGGCAATTATGTAGATCGTTGTTTCTTATGTATTCCATAACCATAACATATTCTTTCGTTTTAGGACATTGTGATATTCCATAACACTTTGCAAAATAATGATTCTTTTTAATGAATTGATGATGTTTTTTGACCTACGAATAAAAAATATAAATTTTTGTGAGGATATAAGTATGAATTAATATTAATTAATACGTATATTAAAATATTTAATATAGTACTAACCATATTTAAATAATTAATTATCATCTCTTTTGAATTATTCAAATGTTTTAATATGACTATCGCTTCACCATTTCTTGCTCTATATCCAAATCCTAAATTGATACTATTAATGTAAGTTTCTTTTGATTTGGCATAATAAGTTGTACCATATCCACCGTGACCTAAATATTCTATTTCTTGAAATTTCTCGTATGGAAACCATTTAATAAAATCTGTATCATTGTCAAGTTGTAATTCTTGAATTAGTTGTTCAATTTCTTTATTGCAAGTTTCTGAATCTTTTTCTGAATCATTTCGTAAATAATCACTACGTTCTAACTGTGCTGCGCTTGGATCAGATTTAATTTCCTTGCTTAAATTTATATCTTTTTCAAAATTTTTATCGATATCTGCTTTTACTTCACTTTCGTCATTTTTAGCTATATCTCGGTTTAAAATGATTTCTTTCTCTACTTTTTCAGTTATCTCAGTTAACTCTGTAGTATTTAATCTGGATTCGCTTGCATTATTGTTTATTATGATGTATGGTTCGATCTCACTTTCAGTGCTGTCTACCATATCTGTCATTATAACTGATTTTGATTCATTCAAAAATTTTAAGTTTGTAAATTTAAGTGCTTTAAAAAATACTTTCTTTTATGAAAGTATTCAAACTTAAAAAATTCAATACGTATACAGTAATAGTCATTCGCTTATCAGTTATATAAAGCGGAATACAAGTCCGTAATGACTCAAACTTATGTAGATCATTCCAAAATGATATTGTGTTCAAAAAAAGGCGGTTTATTCATGGGTTAATTTATTCCTTTTAAAGTACAATAACGTAATACTTTACGCAATTAACATTTAATTCTATTAACTTTAACTCCATTTAGTAAGTCCATATGTGTAACACATATGTGCGTACGTATTTACTGCGCATTATTTAGCGCAGCAAAGCATCTTTCGAGTACTATACGCCCTATAGTAAAGTATTTTCCCTACTTTAAATTATCTGACTTAAAAAATAATATCATGAATTTTTAATTCCTATATACTTTCTGCTAAGTCATAAACTTTAGAATGGTGATTAAAAAATCATGTTATAATTTTTAACTGGATACTGTTAGAATAAAGCTTAAGGAATATTTAGTTGTTTATTTAGTTGTTATTACAGCACTTACGTCTGTAGACGGCCTCCCCGAAGGTTGGGTTGGTAATCTACGTCACTTCCTCAGCTGTAGCAGCATTTAGTTATGTTCGTTTTCTTTAACAAAATTTTCATTATCATCTGACAATTTGTGCCACGATCATATTATTGGTACGTGCTGTTGCTGCTGCGGCGGTGACACCATCGTCAATCCAGGCCACCTGATTTCGTCTGCGGATGAACTTACATACGTACGTACGTACGTACGTATGTATTGGCGGAGAAACGTGACCTGGCAGCAGGCACATACTCATAAATTATTACCAAAAATGGAGATCTAAAGCATAAATTTAGGGCCTTAAATATGTATTGATCGAACGAAAAGGCATTCGATAAATCTAATTAAAATCATAGTCGTGTAAATGAGTGTAAGTACTCATTGCTAATTATACTACTTGAAGATTCGTATTATAATGCAATTCTCAACATTGTGCAATATGTAATGTATATAAGAACCATCGACATCATGTAACTAGAATAATAGAAAAAAAACTTATTGTATTCTTTTCATTTTTAGTATTTTTTTTAAAAAAATATATACTATTTATTATACTATTTAACACAGAAAAGTAGTTTGGTCAGGTTATTGATGATAACTGATTATTAACGAGGATGCTGAGATATAACAGTGGCCCTTTGTCACCATTATGGCATAGTATTCACTATGAATAAATCAGTGATTATCGTTAATAACATGATCCTACTAACCATTTCTGCATCTTGTTGTGTTATTTCTAAATGCGATGACAAATTTGTTCACCCCTGATAACGATAAGAGATGAATAAAGTTTGTGCTTCATGTATTAGAAGTGACCCAATAACAAGCATAAAAAAATTGGCTGGTACTCACATAAGAATATATATATAAGGTTTTAAGGAATGGTCATACGTATCATATTTGTGCATAGATCTTTAGATTTGATAAAGAATTTAGGTAATTTGTATGTATGAAGCCAATATCGATCTGTAAATAAAAATTACCATTTCTAGTAATTTGAATAACACTATTTAATCCATGATCGTCAATTATCCGGTTGCCAAGTCATCATGATGCAATAATAAAACTTATGAAAGTAAAATGGAAATCTTCTAACCTATTTATTCATTGAAAATACATCTTTTAAAATCGTGTTATGGTATACAACGTTTAGAATCACTATTATGGCATTCATTCTAAACTTTTTATTGATACTACTTTTTAACCTAATGTAACCTCATCGGATGGTTAATTTCACAATCACTTCTTTGTATAATTATTCGTTAAATAGTTCCCATAAAAGCAAGACGCGATTTTATAAAATTCCAAAACAAGCATTTATTAATTTTGAATTATGAAAGATCATACTAAACGAAAAATATAAAAAGTTACATATTCTGTTCCAATACGATGGTTTAACTTTGAAAAAAAAACGAAAAATTAAAAACTACAAATGAAAAAAATACAAGTCACCCATAATATACAGAAAAAATTTTTCTAAACAGATTTTTACGATTCGCTTTTTAAAAAATTTTGGAAATTTTTTTTTTTTTGATCTGGCCTTTTTTTACTTTTTCATTTTTTATGCTTTTTTGCATTTTAAGAAAATATTAACAAACGGTTTTTTAAACATCTTTATGTCCCGAATATTCAACTTGTTGTCACTGATAATAAGATATATAGACATTTGATAAACGGAATTACTGTACCAACGGACTTCTGAATAATCCTGTTGAATTTTATAACCCATCAGAAATTCAAACACCCTTGGCTCTATTCATACAAAAATTTGGACAGAAAAATGATACCATTAATAACATGTATATATTATTACGCTTATCGTTATAATCTAAACAATCCACTAATTGACGAAGTTCTTAGCATTGATTATGATAGTGTAATTAATAAATAATTATGTACATACCGCGTAATGACTTAATACATTGAAGTATTCATTTTATTATCAGATGGATAGTGTGAATTCGTCCGACCATTTTCTTCAACGAGACTTTTGTCAACTAATTACAATCACAAAATAATTTTTAAGCATTAGCAACTAAAGAATCACATACCGATGTCGTAACTTAGTATACATGGAGGTTAACCAGTGAGCATCCATATGACTATTATTAGTTGGTCATGCCGCGCAAGCAAAACCAGTTATTATTTAATCATCATATAGGTTTATATTCCTTGTGATGATTTAGTGTTACATGATTTGACAGCAATTCTAGCACCGAGCATATACTGTATGGTTCTAACCTTTCAATTAACCTTCGTACGTACCAGAAGTATAGTCGTAATTTGAATTTTTTTCATTGGATAATAAATTATTTCCAATCATTATTGTGTCAACAAATTCTTTAAAAAATGTTTCGATATCTTGTTCTTCAGGCTCCCCAACTAATTGTGAGCTGAAAGGTACTGTATCAAATTTTGAGATGTCTGTATTACAAGATAATGAATTAAAACGAATTGGGTGTTTAGGATTAGATTGGCTTGGAAGTGATTTGGAGCGTTTTAATACGCGCTTTTTCTCTGGACCTTTTGATTTTGGATTTGATGAATTATCCATGGACATTATATAATTAGGCTGATTACCCAATTTTTCCTTCACGTATGTAAAAGAAAGTTGTCTTTTCTTTTGTTGGTTGCTTTTGAGTCTTTTCTTAATTGTCTTCGGTGTTTCATTCTTAAATAATGTCATGTTTAAATCAAACAGGAAAGTAAGAGCAGAGAAACAAAATAAAAAAGTAAGAATTGAAAAACTGGAACCGTAAACAGTTATATCATACAGATTTATAGAGTTGATCATTATTAGTTTTATTTTTAGAAAGGTATGTTTGTTTACCGAGCGTTAGGAAGAATATATTTTTAAACTCATTAAAATCAACATATATAAACTAGCGGCAAACCAAATCGAGTTGAATTTTACGATAAGCTAAACTTATTAAGGAATTACTGAATACGCAAATTACTAATTTTAGTAAATTTTCCTCAAAACAAAGAAACACGTTGAATCTAGTATTTCCCAAAAACCGTTAGTTTTTCCCGACTAGGTTTGTTTTTTATTATCTATAGTGTACTGTAATTTTTATATTGATTCAACTATTGATGATTATTTAAGTTACAGCCATTATAGTTTTTCTGAAATCTTACGATTGGTTAGTAATACGAAATATATGTGATTTTTCGTAGGAATTATTCTGAATTCATTGAACAATCTGGCTTCCTAATTATTTAAATTTTGATAAATACTGTAAATGCTATTTGTTGCTTTTTTTTTTCTTATCCATGTGAATGCTTAGATTAATAGTTAAACCAAATTAGGATCCGATTTATTATCCGCAATCGCTCATTCTGCAATAACAGTAATTTTCCACTGTTTATACATACATACATATCTCCTTTTAAAAAAGTACGTGCACTTTGTACAATCGTAGCAATGTATTGAACAGCATCTTAACTAGTATATTAACTTTAGGCGTAAAAAGGCTTACCAATTTAACTTAAAAGCCCCTATAAATGGGAATAATATTGGAAAATTTTTTATTATAAAATTTCCAAATTTCGAAAATTTTAGTGTAGGAAATTCCTATTCAAGTTTGATAGGAAAAATAAACAAATACAATAACTTGTAAGAAAATACAAAGAATAAATAATTACGCAATATTGTAACTTCCAACACCATATTTATATATTAATTTCAGAAAGTTAACACGTAATCCTAAGTCTTGATTTGGGAATTTCCATTAGTGAACTATTTTACCGGATGTATAGTATTTTTCTTTTATATTGTGATGAAAGTATATTACGTATAGAATCTGTTTGAAAAGTCTCGTGGTATATATCATTTAAAGTAAATCAGATGTTGCTTCACAAAAAATACCATTTTTCAATTGATGGTGCCGAAAATTTTTAATTCATAACGAGCTGCGTATAAATTACTAAAGAATAATACTACATGACGCAATCTCTATTTATGAATATGCTACAATTTCAAATTTGAAGTACCATAGTAATAAAAAAGTAAAAACCATTTACAGTTATCACATAAACATAACACAAGTTAGCATAATTGTTCCGCGTCATGCCTTTTATTACCAGTAATCAGTTGGATAGAACTGATAAGCAAAATGCGCATTTTTAGCATTATGCATGATATGCGTATCATAAAGTTCCGTTCCGTGTAGCACATATGACGCAATTTGCATAGGTAATACAGTACAGGTCCTTTGGTAAGTGATGAGCATTATTGGAACAGCAAAACCATGGTATAGTCGCCGATCACTTGAAATTTTCAATTTTCTCGTGATCGTGATTGACCAAAATTAATAACAGTATAAATGCACGCTCACGGGACTGAACTTTAACAATGCGCATTTAGAGAACAATAAGAAAAGGTGCATATAGAGATCATGCATATATTTAAGCCAGAGGTTGAGCGTGCATTTAGAGAGTGTGTGCAATAGCTGGTGCTTCACTGTATTCCAAATTACTGAATTAACCCTAGTTACAGCAACAAAATTTCATGGTAGATTCTCGATTTTGATTGGCTAAAAGCAAATATCAAAAAATAGACCAGAGTTACTCGGAATTTTACTAATGAAATCGCAGCCTCCTATCAAATGAAAATTGTTCCTAGGCCAATTTTATTGGTGTTCTGCAGATCCGATCCGGATCCTATGATCAGATCGAATCCGGATCCACAATTTATAGGATGGATCCAATCCGAATCCGTTTGGATCTGTTCATGCTGATTGGCTGTATTTGGTGGATTCTGATTGGTTAATTTTACAGGTATAACCGATCTCGTGATAGTTAGCCAACTAAAATACATAAATTTAAAAGATTTATCAGTTTAATACTACAAAAAAAATGAGATGAACTTTATTTAAAGAAAAACCTATAAACTAATAAATGCACGCAGAAAAGAAATAGTCACATTTTTAGAAATAGACAAATTATGTATATGTAAATTGATATTTTATTAATAAACACAAGCTCAAATTAATCAAAAATTCAAAGATGTAAATAAATTATTAACGATGTTATCTTTTATTCTTTACTGAAAAGTAGTTAAAATAATTATATCTTATTCTTAATCATCGTGACTAGGGATGGGTTCGGTCAGCTAATAGTCGGCTAGCCGATCGACTATAGCCGTAGTCGATGTAGTCGACTTACATTTTCAAACCAGTCTAATTCTGGTCAAATTTGCAGATCGTTTGGCCTATTGTGGTGAGTTTTAAACTCATCTCCAATAGGCCAAATGATCTACAAATTTGACCAGAATTAGATTGGATTGAAAATGTTGATCGGATCTTCAATTGTTTATTATTTTGATTGGCTGTTTTCAGCATGTGACCCGAACTTTTTTTCAAGTAATTTATCGGCTATAGCCGGCTACTAGTCGATAGTCGATGATAGCCAAACTCATCCCTAATCGTGACCTTTATTAGATACATAATTAATGAAATAATACCGATACAAAGTCACATTTACTAATCTAGTATAATTCTATAATATCTGATACGTAAAATATTAATTAATACAGGCTTATTTTTATTACAATATATAGCATATCAAATAGTATACTAAAATTTAAAAAAAAAATTTTTTTTTTGTTACTAAAAATAAACCAGGTTGAATTCTAAAATAATAATCATGTGATAGAATTTGATTGGTCGATCACAGGGTCGCCACGGTGACGGCTCGCTAAAAAATAATGGCCATAACAATTTATAATACTTAATTTATAAATATATGTATTTAACTAATTTTAATAGTTTACCACTATTAGAATTAAAAAACCTAATCTAGGGACCGTCTAAAGCCAGGTGCGTTCACGTGACTAACAGCCAATCAAAATATAAAATTTGATCAACCCGGATCAGCCCGACGAGACAGAAACAAAGAAAAAAAGTGAAAAACGTCGAAAATACAAGAAACGAATGTCTAAACCTGTCTTGAAGCACTAATAAAAAATGTCGGGAGGACAATTTTACCTATAAGAACTTCTCCAACCCTAACCTCTAACTAACCCTTACCCTAATTTTAATTAAATAATCAAAAACATATAAACGCACCTGGCGTTAGCCATCCCCCTAATCTAGAAACTTTGGTAAAAATTTAAATAATAAAATTTTCTTTATTTAAAAAAAAAAACCATTAATTTTATATATAATTTGCGAATGGTATCCTCTACTCTTAATTAAACATTTTATAATCAGTAAAAACATATTGACCCTATTGATACCTATTGATACCCTATTGGAACCTATTAGTATCTATTAAGTACTGATATCATATTAACCGTCTTTGAAGCCAAAAACTGGAAGTTCCTTACTGACTTCATTTAATTTAAGTTTATACAAACATCTAAAATTTTAATATAATTTTTTAATAGTTAATCGTATAAAATCTTTTGACCTTCTACCATTTCAAATAACTGTAATAGCACTTAATTTAAAAATAACGTTTATTGAGATTTTTTGTGATAAAAATTTGAGATCTTGATTATTATTTCCACGATCCCTTGGAATACGAATTTGCCATCCAGTAAATGGTGTAATTTGTACGAATGTGCCACGAAAATCATGATTCACTTTGTTTGCTTCATATTTCTTTTTTTCAATATCATAAAATCCACTGAAAAGTATATCTTGTTTATGATCAAGAAAATAAGAAATTTTTTTGTATTCTTTTGAATTTGAATTATATCCTATGTCGTAAAAAGGTGACGCATTCGTGTAAATCTCAAAATAGACCTTTTTATCACTTGTGGTTATTGAATTATCCACTAAATTAATCTGAACCTCATTTATTCTAATCCGATAATAACCTCTAAAAAACGGATCATTTGTTGAAATGTCAAAATAAAAGTCGGAGGAATCGTAATTAGATAATGTATCAGAAGATGTGATGATATGATATATGTACGGCTGTCTTAAATCTATCGGTGGTGTAGGAAACCCATTTTTTAATTCTTTTATTATCGATGCATGCTGATTGCTAACAACATCTAAAATACTATTTATTCTGTAACTATTTAGTAGTATAGGCTCGGTAAAGTATTCGTATTGTGATGCTTTATCCTGGTCCATTAAAAGACTTACAAGTTGTCCAGTTAACAGCTTAACCCTGGCTTCGAAAGTTTCAGTAAGTTTTCCAAAATCTAAACTACTTTTGACAAATTGTTCGATTTCTTCTTGATTGTTTCGTGTAAAGATATCACCAATCTCTTTCCATTCAGCATTTTGCCTTTTTGCATTTTCTTTTTGAAGAAAGATAAGCTTTTTTTTATTTTCTAATTCATATTGTTTAGATAGCGTACTTACAAGAGCAATCCCACGGTTTTTCATAATTTCAACAGATAAACAATAATCTTTCTTTAGTTTGGTGAGCATTTCATTATCAGGAATAATATCTAAAACTCTCTTAACATTAATAATCCATTCTTCCCAATCCAAAGCCATTACTGATAGAGCATTGTCAGGAACTACAACTGTGGGATTAGTATGTGCTTCGTTGAGTAATTTAACTAGTTTGTTGACTTCCTGAATAACCTTCACGATTTTGACTATGCTATCGCCAATATCACCTATGAGTCCTATGACTAATATATCAAAATATATATTAATTTTTTGACCTCGAAATAAAAGATAATTAAAAGAAATAAAATTTGCATACCAGATTCTATATCTTCATAATTTGTTGTAAACATACTACCAATAGCTGTGCCAATGGCCGTGATAATTTTGAATACTGCTTCTTGCTCTTGTTGATCTTTCCATTCATCTAGACCGTTTAATAATTTATTGAACGAAGTCTCCATATCTTTTTTCCCATCATATAATTTATTCTGTAATTTATTTATTTTATTTTTAACTTCCGTCAAAGTTAGGTCAATTTGCAAATAATGTTTAGAATAAATATCAAAAGCACTTCCTTCTTTCTCAGACTCAATATCGGTTTGTTTTTTCAGGAAAATACAAATTTCTTTAAGATAATCAAATGTAATGTTTTTGTTTTTTGTTTCTTGAATTCCTTTGATTTTTTCATTATATTTTCTAAACGTTTGTTCGGCTTCACTTCGATACATTTTTAAAGAATTAAGGTATGAATTATGGCATTTTCATATTGACGATAACGGAGAAATGGAACCAAGAGAGGGGTGGTCGGAGAAGGAAATCCATTATAATATAATATAGATGCTCTCTGATTTAAATTTCGAATTGAATTTTCATCTCATTTATTTTGGAGAATCGAGGTAGTTTTGAAAATCCATTTGATGAACTTCTTGGCAGCAATCTTAAATACATTATCGTCACTGAGTCTAGCATGAGAAATTGATTCCATTAACAGTAAAAGAAATTCAATGTCATTATTCATTCTTAAATTAATTTGTGAAGATAAAAAAGTTTTGATGAGATATTCATCATTAAAAACATATTTAATGTCTAATGAGCTAGGAATTTCATTATCGGAATCAGGTTGTTTAGCTGTGAGAGCAGTTGGAGTTTTTCCAAAAATTGTCATACGTTCGATAGAATTTTTTTGCTGAATTACGATTGTTGGCGAAACTTGATCAAAAAAAAATTTACAATTTTCGTATATATTAGAAGAAATAATAATTTTTGATTTAGGACTAGTAACAAAAATCATTCTTGCAGCAATCATAATTTCATCTCCTGGTAATTCAACTTCAGTAGATATGTGAATAATATCTGCTAGTAAAGTTAGTTTTGTTGGTTTCATATAAATTAAATCATGCTCTCTGTGAAAAGTATCCAGGTCAATGTATATTTGAGAAACCGTCAAAATTGGAGTTGCAATAATCGATGCAAATGGACTGATGAAATCTTTATAGACATTAAACCACTTATCAGATTGATTATCGTTAAAATTAAGAAGTCTATTGGATCGATCAAATTTTTGAATAAGAGCAGAACCTAGTGTGATCGACCATTGCGAACGTAAAAAATTCGGATCAGGATATTCGATGAGTGATGTAAGTTTTAGCCCAATTGCTGTAGTATTAATAAAGATATTTTCTAGAAACGTTGATTGTTTTATTAAGAATATCGAAGGTTGCCCTTGAATATTTATCATATTATCTTTAATACGTTCTTTAAAGTCATCCGGTAAAGGGTCCTGGCTAGCTAATTTCAATTCACCAGCATACTTGGTATAACCTGATCAAAGTAAAAAATTTTAGTATAAAATATGAATAACACGTAGAGATAAAGATCACTTATACCAACCTGAGTTATTATTTTTGATTCTAACATACCCATGAAAATCAAAAAAAGATTCAATATTCATATTTAACTTCTGATTTTGAATCTTGGACTTAATTTCTTGGTATTTTTCTTTTTCTTTTTCATATACAAAAACTTGATAAGCGCTATTACCAAAAGTAATTTCAGAAATACAATGTGTACCACTTTTGTAAAAAAAGTCAATTAACTCTTCTGATGTGGAAGAAACGATATTGGATGTTGACTTTCGAAGGAAATCAACTAAATTACTTTGCGTCCAAATATAATTGATCCTCGACACTTTAACAAGTAAATATCCAACATTTGAATTTATACTAGCATGTTCTTGCCTAATTCCCGCCAAATCAGCAAGATTTAATTTAACATTATCAAGTTTATCTTGACGATATAAAGTAAAGGGAGTGATAGAATCGTTTTCCTCTTCATTTATATAAATTAAAAATCTTATATTTCCATCAGTGACAGGGGATATATCAGTCCTTTCTGAAAAATAAATGTTGACAATATGATTATATAACACATTCCAATTATCAGTCAGACAAATAGTGAAATCATAAAAATAATTGCTTGGCATTAGAACTTCTTGTGGTAGTTGAAGTGTTACTTTGCCATTGCCGCTGAATGATTTGAAAGGATCATTAAAAGAAGGATAGATTCAATTAAGGAGATTGATAGTTTGACCAACTCGCAATTGAGATTTAAGTGACATATTCTCACTAAGATAAGAGAAGATAGTTCTAATCGAGAAATATCAAGCAAGTGCTTGTAATCACGTTACAAATACATATATGGTATCATACGTATGATTTACACATATTACACGAATTTCTGAGTAAAATTTGTCAATAGACAAAGGTGGACTACAGCAAAAATAAGAGACTCTAATTTATACGCTATAAAAATTTGATTCTGTTTTTTTTTAAATTGAACCTGATTTGTAAAGAAAACCATACCAGATACGATAAAATGATTTACACACACGTACGAACGTACGCCACACTCATATAAGTGACGCCAAGGGAACATGGGACCTTGGGGTGTCCAACATTATAATTAATCAAAATTATGTAAGGACAATCGATAAATATATAATAATAAAGTTGTAGATCAGTCGGAGTATCAAAGAACAGATTATATATCAATTAAAAAAATTTTACGTAAAATGATTTAATAATTTTTCTTGCATATTAATGTAAAAATTATTTTCTATAATTTTGTTCATATTGCTACAATTATTATAAATAAAAAATTTGAACGAAAACTATCGAGCCAGTGAGTCTAAACTTATAAATATTAAGATTAGGTATAATGTAGCACAATTTAAAATTTAAAACAATTGTTCATTTTGTTAAAAATTGTTTATAACTCAAAACTTTGTATATGAAACTACACTTTACATTCTAACAAAAAAAATTTATTGCAAAATTTTACTATAAAACTTCTCACCCAAACCTAACACTAACCTATACACTACTTTTACCTCACACTAACCCTAACCCTAACTAACAAAAAAACTAATTGTTTTTTTTTTTATTAATATTAATGTCATATATAGAAAAGCAAAAAACTTTTACAAAGTATTACATAAATACATAATAGTTAATCAGATAGATTTTCTATAAACATCTAATTTGATGTAACATTACACCTCCAATTTTCTATGCTAATTTAAATTAATAAAACTACTATTAGATAGAGGAAAACCTTGTTTAATATAAAATAGTAAGGTATATATATATTTAAATTGAAATAGTTTTAATAGGGCTAGAGAAATATTGTAAAAAATGTAATAATAAGAATAAGAGTTGAAGTTAAAGAAAAAAAAATAAAAATAAAATAGTAAGAGAAGAAAGAAGAAAAAAAATTGAATTTATTACCCTGCAGTTTATATATTTAAGCTAAAGTTATAAGGAAAAGCTATATAAATAATATTTAAATTAAGAGAAGAAAGAAAAAAAATATATCCATATTATAGTAGGTAATACTACCTTAGTGCATCAGGCCTAATATACTACCAGAAGGTATAAACATATAGCTCTGCAGTGCAATTTGCTCTAACCACTGTACTATAACCATCAGGATAATGAAAATTATTTTTGTACATTTTTAAAGATTTGTTTTGGATAAGATCTACCAAATAAATTGCTTAATTTGATCTTGTATTAGTTGTCAGAAAATTTTGTATAGTACAGCATATATATTTAAAGTTTTTGTTTAGAGTTGGTTTATACTTCAAGTAATGATGAGTCAATAAAGTTATTTTAGAGTGCACTTGAAGAGAAGTTTTAAAAAAAGTTTGCCTTCAAAAGAAATAGAAGATTTGCCTCCGAAAGAAAATAAAGATTTGTTTCAGAATAAAGTAGTAACTTTAACTCAAGAAGAAGAAATGTTTTGTCACAAATTGAGGCTATGGAGAATGTTAGTAAAATTTCAGAAGAGTAGGCTAAGGAAATTTATCTTCATGATTTTTTGTCAGTTGGGTTTTCAAGAATGGATAAGTATGTATTTGTATTAGTAATATAGATAGGTTGGTAAAGGAATTTATATTTGCAAGGATTAAGTAAGATATTAATTATACAGTTTGCGAAATGAAGAAAAGTCTATAAGAAAAAGGTTAGAAGAAATAGAAGACCAAATATGAAATCAGGCATTAGAACAAAATTCAGAAAGTAGTCAAGATGGTCGTGTTTTAAATTGTTTTCTTGATCAGAAAAGAAAATTTACACAGAGGTTGGAAAAGTTATGAATGTTGTGTCATGCAAAAAGTTTTATTGAAGCTAGTGATAGTATAGATATTGTAGATAGTAGTTAAGTAGTGAGTTTGTGTAATAAGAAAGTTTTTAGAATTTAGTTTAGTTTTGGATATGTCAAACCTTAGTAAAATTTAAATAAAGATCAAATTGTTAATCAGGTATATAATAGTAATAAAATTATAAGATTTGTAAAAAAAAAATTTTTAAAAAAAGATATAGTTAATTAATATATATAAAGATTCTAAAGTTTTGGAAAATAATTTTTGAATATATTGGTCAATATTGTTGTTAAAAATAGCAGTAGTGTTTTAATGTAATGTTAATCTAGAAAAGTATATTTTTGTATATTTTGATTTAAGTATTATATTTCTTGTGAGTTCCCAACTATGTTGGGTTTGATTTCTTGGAGTCCAGATTTTAGTTATAAACTAATTAAGAAGACTATTAAAAAGATTGATAAAGAAAGATTGTGTATATTTATGGAAAAAAGAATGTGCTTGATTAAATAGTTGTTGACTAACTGTACTAGAAATAATTGATAGTATTTGTAAAGAAAGTTCTGAGGTGTTGTTTGTATTGATAAAAAGTTGTTAAATATGTTGAGATTGTAAAGTTTAATTGTTGTTAGAATTTAAATTTTCTACTGTTTGAAGTATATAGTTTTTAAAAGTATTAGAGAGTTGCCAAGGTGAATAGTAACAATTAAAACTAATAGTTTTAATTTCACATTACACCTAATTTTATAATATGTAGAGAATATGGTAACATCACATATATGATATATAAATTATCTTTATATTTTATTAACTTTGTTAATAAAAATATTTTAATTTATTAAAATATTTTTAAGCAATAAAAATTTAAAATATTTATTTAAAAAGATTTATTGTAGAATTTTTTAAGGTTTCTTAAAATTCTCTATATTTTCATCTATAGAAAAAAATATTTGCTTCTAATACAATTCAAATTTTTATTAAGAAATTATAAAATTTCATTAATAAAAATTATAATCTATTGTATAAAGTATAATATTCTATTAAAAAAACTAAAAATTAAAACTAAAGTTTATAAAGTTATCTAATATTGATATTAAAATTTTAGCTTACTCAATTTTTTTAAAATTTTGTTTATTTTTGACTTATGAATAATTTAAACTTTTTTCTTATAATAGAAAATTAAATAATACTATATTATAATCCTTATTTTTAAATATTATCAAAAAAATTTTTATACAAATATTTTAATTTTTAAAAAAATAAATCAAAAGCAAATTTATAAAAAAATTTGTAGCAAATTTGCCCTAAATTTGCTTATAATTTAAGAATAAGATATTACTTTGTTACAGAAAATAATAATTTTTTAATTAGATATTGTATCTTTTACTGCATGGTAGTGTACTATATTTTCTAAAAACTTTAATACAACAAATATCATATCTGGAAATATCATCTTTATTAAAGTAATTCCAAACTTTGCAGTATATTGAGATCTACATGCTTAATAACATTGGTTAATTGATAACTAAAAAAAGCTACAAATTTATAATTAAAAGAAACTAAAAATCTATTTTTATTACTTTCTTCTAACATGGCTTTATTGATTAATTATACATATAATTATGATCACTAGATCCTCTTTACCTAACTTATAAAACTAAGTAATAAATTCTAAAGAAAATAAAAGTAATTAATAAATATTGTACTTAATGATTATAACAACAATAATAATAATAAATAAGTTTAATTTTAAATCAGATATATTATTAGATAAATTCAGTCAATTCAGATTAAAATTTATCAATTTGTTAATTAGATAAATTATTCAGATTAAATGTTTTATCTACCATACAGCGTGGACCATGGTACCTGGTGTGACACAAAATTTTACTCAGTAAAAATTTAAACATCACAATTATGCATCACATAAATGTATAAATAGTATTTTAAAAAATCAATTTACATTATTTGTCATACTGGGTACCATAGTCTGCACTGTATGGTACTTATGTTCTGATAAACAGATGATTAGATCTAAGTATTAATAGAAGGTAGGGCTTTCTTAGTAAATAAATATGAGCTTCACTGTAATCAAATTAATAGATATAATAATTTTTTATAGAGTTTATATCAAAAACTAATTTTGAGTAAATGTAAAAATAAAGAGTTAAATGTTTAAAAGGTTGTATAGGTGAAGAATTTTAATATAGAAAAAATTAGTTAAAACAGGTAAACAGATTATAAAAAGTATTAAAAGTTGTGGATATTCTATAAAATAGGTGAGCAATATAAAAAATAAACTCTGCTAACAATTAGTAATTATTAATAAGTATTTAGCAGAATTGCGAAGTTTGCGAAGTTTACTTACCTATTCTATAAAATATTCGAAGTTGTAATATAAATCATAAGTATGTTTTCTATAGCTTCACTTACTATATACCCAGTTTTTATAGTTTTGCAAAAGTAGAAGTACTTTGGTTAACTATTAAAGTACCATCATTTTTTACTTCTTTTAAGTATAATAATAATAATAATAATAATAATAATATTTTTATTAGTTTATTTATACTATAAATATAATTAATGCTTTATTTTTTAAATTATTTTTAGTTTTAACTATAAAAATTTATTTTCTAATTAATTTTATAATTTACTAGTTCAGGTTGAAGAGTTTTGGCAGCCAGATTATAAATAGGAGTTACTATTTCCACCATGATAATTTACTATTTTCACCATAGTTATACAAGATTTACTATTTTTAGATTATAATATAAAAAATTCTAAAACTAATAAGTAAACATTTCTTCTAAAGATATTTGGGGTTA